AAGCCCAGGATTGCCGCAACCCAACTTAACGCCTATCTCCATTTGGTTCCCTCCGTTCCTTACTTTCGGTGCAGCCGAAATGAAATTCAGACCACGTACGCATATACAGTGTTGTGTGGTCACCACTTGGAGCCTCCACTCTTGGTACTGTTTGTCAGTCCTCTCTCCTGCATACTGAAAATATCTCTTCTCTCGTTCTTGTGCCGTGGAGAGCTGGTTTGCGTCTTTTCTTGGTTTTCTTCTTCCGTTGTTGGTCTTCGAGTGGGTAAGTTGTGGTTGTTCTTTTTCTTTCGTTTTGCCAACTGCGGTCTCTCTTTCTTTGTTGATGAGTGAGGTTTGGGTGTGTGATGTTGGAGTTTCGTTTTCTTGGCTTTGCGGTTTGGAACTCTTTCTTATACTTTGTCTTAGTGAACTTTTTGTTGTGAGGGTTCTTTGTTGTGAGTGTTTGCGTTTTTCCCTTGTTATGAGTGTTCTTGGTTGACATTTCGGTAGTGCGCATGGATTCTACAGTTGGTTATTATATTATTACCCTTTCGCTTTGGGTGTGTTGGTTTTCGTGTTTGGTGAGTGGTGCTTGTCCGTTAGGGGGAGGTGTGTTTGTGCTTTTTTCCTATTTTTGATGGAGGAATGTTTTGCTGTGTACGGTATAAGGGATTCTGCCTTGTGATGTTTGCTTGGTTGTCATGTTTGATGGGTGTTGCTTGTTGTTGGGGCCTAGGGTTGTGTTTTCTCTCTTTTATTTGGTGGAGGACTGTCTTGTGGTGTATGGGATGGGGGGGCCTGTCTTCTGATGTTTGCTTGGTTGTTTTATGTTTGTGGGGTGCCAACTGTTCAGTGTGAGGTTGCAACTATGGTGTTTGGGGGGTGTGCTCCATTGTATTTTTTAGGGTTGCATGGTTTTGTTTATTGGCTTGTTCCTTGATTACTGAGTTTTATTTAATGAGTCTTGGTGAGTTTTATAATGAAATCGGTGTGTGTGGTTTGTGTTCTTTATGTTCAGGTGCCCAGGCGTGCTTTGACAACTGCAAGGAGTTGTTTTGTTCTACATGTGAGTGTCTTGTCTTTTTACTTGGATAGTTTGCCTTTTTACTTTGATAGTTTGACTTTTTAAACCTGTGTTTCTTTATTTTTTAAAATAGAGGCGGAGCTGGTACTCTTTGCCTTTTCGTCCTTTAATTGTCATGTTAGAGCAGGTTCGGTTGTGTGGTTGTTTGTTATGTTGGGGTGAAATAGACGTATAGTTCATTGGTGCATTTATTTAAAACTGCTATGGTGTCTCAATGTGATATTTTGGCATTCCAACTTCATCTGGGTAGTGGGATTGTGGATGCCTCCTCGCGGGGCCCCTGGCGGTCGTGTTCCTGTGATTGAGCAGCAAGTTTGAAGGAATAAACGACGTCGATTGGCAACCGAAAGGCGGAACACGTCTCGTGGTCAACATGCCTCAGAAGAACATAGTGAATACAATGACGAGGTTCAAGGTCTATGCCCTTTCACACGTGTGACATTTTTGTTCCCTTGTTCAGTGTTTGTGGTGAGCCTTTCGTTCTGATCTTGTGTTTTTCTTTGTCACCTGTTTGTCCCTATTTATTGGAACCAATTTAATGTAACAACTTCTTTCTCCTGTTGATACTTTGCCCATCGAATGTTTGTCCACTGTGAAATAATTGTGTGACTTGGTCCATTCACACTGTCCTGTTGATTTAACCCCCAAAAAATATCATTACCTATTACTTGATTGTCCCTTTCTGTTCTGTTGTTTCTCCACGCACCTGTATTCTTGTGTAGGCTCTCACGCGGCCTACGCCCTTGAAAGTATGCCTAACTGTCAGCTCTGTGGTGCTGAACGCCTTCAGTATGAACCGATCACTATGTGTTGTAGTCGAGATGAGATTATTCTCACTTCAACTGGCATGCCTACCGAACTACATAAATTGTTCACAGCGCATGACCCTTTGCAGTTGCAGGTCTTCTTATAGTTAGGCAGTGGTGATGGAGCTGAATCGGATCGAAGCTGATGCCTCGTTTTCAGCTACCATGTCCGATTCCATTATTTTCGCCGGAGCTCCTCCCCACCCCGATCCCTTCTCCGAGCACCACCTAATGTGCTCACGTATTTCTCATTGCATATGCATTTACTTGTGTGTATCATATCTCATGTATTTTGACTTAATTGCAGATTAAATTATGATAGTTTTTATTAGGAGTTGGTGGTGGTTTACCCATGTATAGTCACGGGCTCAACGTAATGAAATTACCCAATTTCCAAGGACAGAACAGAGGCTGACTACGATTTGATTGGATAACTTTTGTTTTATTTTACATTTTTAAATACGGAATATGTCTTGTGGAATGCATTGTACTGTTGGTTAAAGAACTTTTTGAGAAACATAAAGTCAGTAATAAATGCAGCTTATATATTACCCTTACCATAGCAAGATTCGAATCACACAACCTGACCCATATGTTAAAAATGAGTTTTTGGGCGGGAAAAGTGCCAAGGATTCCACTCTAGTTTGTATATAGTAAGAAGTAAGATACTCTGTGAATTTTATACGAGCATGCAACCAGGTTGGAAGTGCTGAAACTGAAGCGATTGGAGTGAGGTATACAATTCTTTGGCAAAAGTAGCTGGGTGGAGCAAAACAGTGATAGAAATGGATGCACCTTTAGGATGTTTTTACTTGGACTGTAATTTGCCGGTCTGGTCTGATTTGGTCTGGTCTGAATTGGTCTGGTCTGGTTTGGTCTGGTCTGAACTGGTCTGGTCTGATCTGGTTTCTTTGTATTTTTATAACTATCCAAGTCTGATCTGATCTGAACCGATCTGGTCTGGTCTGGGAGGAATTACAGTCCAAGGAGAAGACTGTGATTCTCAAATGGGCATCATTTTCGAGGATATTAAATTCTTGATAAATGAAAATACTAATGTAAAAGTCCAATGGTGTAAAAAATCAGCAAATCAAGTTGCTCACGCATAAGCTGCAACGATGGTTTCGATGACTAAAAGCGATGCTAGTTTGTTACCCTCCAAACTTTATTATAAGCCATTTGGCTAATGATTAATTAATTTAATTGGGATTTTACCATTAAAAAATACTCCAAAATAAATGCCCTCAGCCCACGAGTTGACCCATAACCCGCGCAGGTTAGCCCACTAAACACACAACCCGCACCCCACTAGGGTTAACACATTCAACACGCTAAATAACCGGGTTCGAAAACAACAACCCTAACCGCTTATAAATGCATTGGAATGGGTCAATCCGTGGGTTTGCCCCTTTTGACAGCTCTATTTATGGGTAATCGGGCCCATCGAAAATGAAAAATTTTGTTGGCTCTTCCGTTTATTTATTTAGTACTATCCCTGTCTCACTAACAATGAATCATGAGGAGGTGACACATTTATTTAGAAAAAAGGTTCATCTAGTTGATATTGAATTGATAAAATAAAATAAAAAAGTAATCCCTCCGTCCCTTAAAACTTTGCCACTTTTCATTGTTTGTTGTCCTACTAACTTTGTCACTTTTTTTTAGGTGAAAATTTTGAAATTCCAGTTAACTCTGTCTGCTCTGCACAAATCTCAATCATACATTTTTTCTTTATTAATCCTAATGCTGGTCAAATTTGGCCTAGTTCCCTTTAATAATAATTTAAAAGGATAGATGATAAAATCTTAAAAATGATTTTCCATTTTCTAAAATATACCCGGCATTTTCCAGCTATTTTGTCGAAGCTCTCGTCGCACGCTGAGCAGATGCCAATTGGGGGTAAAATACATCCTACAACCGGTTGTACCATGCACACGGTACAACCAGACTTTATTGGACTTATGTGCTTCTTCAACCTGGCCTTCGCATCAGGCTTCTACGTTCCACCTTCGCACAAAGCTTCGCACCAGACTTCTCCGATTGCGCTTGCTTCTTCGATCTAACTTCGAATCAGGCTCACTGTCGCCGACGTTCACCCCCTTCTCCTTCAGCTCTCTGCTCGTAGCCGCGTCTTACCACTCGCCCTTCTCCTCAGACACAAACGCAGTGGCTCCGGCTCTGGCACAGTTACCTCCCCTCCTCTGACTTTCTTTTCACTCTTTTTCTTTTTCTCTTTTTTTGACGCAATTTTGCTGTTTGATTTTGGGAGACAAAAGAGTATAATTCATTGTTGAGGAATCCTTGTTGCTAATGATCTCAAATGAGTTTTATATTAAACTCAAATGAGTATACGCCTAAAAGAAATGAACTCACACAAATTAATATTGAGCACATTGACAATGCGTTTTATGTTAAACTCAAATGAGTATAATGCCCAAACTGAATGAGCTTACACAAATGTGCTTTTGAATGATTTGATACTTATTTTGTAAGTTATGTATGCTCATTTGGTACTGTTTTATGCTCATTTTAAAATGTTTCACATTTCAAACATATAATACTTCATTAGAAATTTCAATGTTTCACATATTGAAATTAATTATAAACATAATTTAAGATTTTTTTTAAACGAAAAAATAATAAAAAGAAACCGAATTAGAAGATATGAAACAAATATCACTGATGCTCATTGTTAGACTCTCAACCTCAATTAGAAATTTCATTGTTTCACATATTGAAATTAATTATAAACATAATTTAAGATTTTTTTATAAACGAAAAAATAATAAAAAGAAACCGAATTAGAAGATATGAAACAAATATCACTGATGCTCATTGTTAGACTCTCAACCTCAATTAGAAATTTCATTGTTTCACATATTGAAATTAATTATAAACATAATTTAAGATTTTTTTATAAACGAAAAAATAATAAAAAGAAATCGAATTAGAAGATATGAAACAAATATCACTCAATGCTCATTTGACCCGCATAAATGCTCATTTAAGAGAAATCCTAATTTTCCACCAAAATTACAAATTTGGCACCTATCAAAATGGCACCGTACGGCCGTACAGCCGGTATGATATGCTTCCCCAATTGGGGCTAGGGTTCAATAACACTGTTTCTTTTTCTCGGGGCGTCAGGTTTCCAGCTCCTATACCCCTTTTCAGTATTTTCTCTCGAGGAGATGGGGGACGCATACTGGAACCGACATGCGGCTTTGCATCAATCACCAGGCTTACTCAAACGGCCTCGTTCTGACTATGGTAACTTATTTATTATTGCTATGTTTATATTATATATGTTATTACTGAGTGTATTCTTCCTTTCTTTTCTTTTTATGTTTTGGGATTTCAATGCTATGGGGGTTATTCCATTTGGCTGTGATTTAACTATAAATAGAGATATGTATTTGAACTATGCTATTGCGCATGCTAAGTTGAGGGAGGGGTTATTACTAAATGGATTGCTGCTAATTATTTGTGAAGTGAATTACATATTGGTTAACTGCAAAGGGTTTATTTGTATCTCTACAAATCTATTGCATACATTGTAAATTTATAAGTAGCAGGTTCTAACACTTTCTTTAAGTAATCTTTATCATTAGTTTATTTACATAGCTTTCTGGATTTAGTCAATAGTACTAGTTTTATACTCGGGTAAAAGTCTACCTTGAGTGAAAATGAGGAAAACCATGAACGATTGAGAACTTGCCAATTTAGGACGTAGACCAACTTTAAAATATGCAATAACTATCAAGCGAGCATGAGACTGCTAGTGGATAATTGATATCGCTTAGAACATTATGGAAGGTTATTTGTGTTTTGTTTCTTTGCAATTGAGCTCTTTTTTAGGTTTAGTCATGTTTAGGGCCTTTTCTTTTCAAACCAAAAGTACTGGGTACAGGTACATCTGCCAAAATAGACTAATAGAGTATCCATGGTTCACATTTCGCTACTTATGTGTTGTAATCTATGGTTTCAACTTTCAAGCAGATGCCCTATGACACTATAAAGGAGAGAACATTATACAAAGTGCAGTATAAAGGAAAAATTCTGATTAAGATTAACGTCTCAAGTAGTAATGCCAAGTTTCATATTCTTGGCATCTTTATCGTTTAGGATAGCAACATAGTGTATATATTTTCAAATTAACCAAAACAAGACCTAGTAGTCACTGCGTCCTCCCAAGTAATTAGTCATAATCGCTACTCAGCCTTTGAATGAGATTTAAAACATAGCAAAAAGCTTGAGTCAGCTACCTTTCATGTTTGAATTGCAACCCATTCTCCATATCCTTTTAGGGAGTTTTAGCCATCTGCTTCAGCTCATTTGTCAGCTTCGTTTTCCTCTTTCTATTTCAAGTTTCTGTGTTTTTCTCGCTTCTCTACCCTGTTAATTTGTCTTGGGGCGGTTGTATGCTGTTTGATTACCCCCCTCCCATGGGAGTGTATGGATGAAGTGTTATGGAGAGGAAGGCTTTGGAGAGTCTAGTCTATATGACTCTATCATGATAAATAAAAATGTTTCTAAAAATGAATCAAGGGGGTGGCACAATTTTTTATGATCACATATTATCTTATTCCTTCAAAGTTGATTAAATCTCAGATATTGGAAAATAGACATCTTCCAAAACCCTCTCTTTAAGACTTATGTTGATCACAATGATTTAGAATAACTCATTAATGAGATACTTTACTTGTCTATTTGAACTTTGATATTGAGTTGCATTAAACCTTGGAGGCTTGATTCTGCTTTAGTGAATGGGTGATGATTCAAGTTCTCTTGAGATCATAATATTAAAAAGTGGAAGGTTGTCTGTGCTTATTGATTACATTCCCATCTGCTATCAACCGGCCAATTGTTTTTCTGACTTTGAGCCTTTGAGGTATTCAATTTGTTACATCCAAGGCAGGCAAAGTCGTGAGACGCACTTAAGGTGCTAGAGTACTCTATCACCTGAGGCACAAGTCGCAAAAGAAGAGCTTGTCTAACTCATGTCAAGTCCAGTGTTTAGAAAATACTCCCTCCATCCCATTTTACCTGTCTTACTTTCCTTTTTGGGTTCCAAAATAAGGGTCATATTTCCTTTTTGGAAAGAAATATGTGGCCCACGACATTTCAATTTATTATACTAAAATCTCAATCACAATTTTTACTTTCTTAATCACTTTATTAATAATTGTGTCAAACCAAAACAGGACACAAAATGGGATAGAGGCTATACCACACGAAAACTCCAAGCGGGGTGAGTTTCCCGTATCGCAAACGTGAGAAACGGATGAAAGACATGTCGGGGCTGGTTTTATTTTTGGGGAAAACAGAGTTTTGGAAACGCTCTTCAAATCTTTAGAGTTTGGTAGGATTAAACCTCTAGTCTTCAACCATAGTCTTGTTCATCACTCCGTTGGCTTCAGCATCTTGGTCAGCAGGTCGTCGTCTTCAGCAGTTTACGGTAACTTTCAGACTCTTAAATCGTTCCCCTTCTGCGAACCGGTCTGTCGCTTTACCTCTGCTCTTCTCCGCTTCTCGGTCGGTAATAGAATACAACACAACTGTATAATATATTGGGTAATGGCTATACATTTTTGAGCTTGTAAATATTTGCTCCATAAATTCGTACATAGCCCATAGCCCTATATTCAATTGTCAATGTCTGATAGTTCGTGTAGATTGCCAGATAAGTGGGTGTGGATTAAAATCCCATATCCCATAACCCTATTATTGATGTTGTGTTTTTTGTTTTGTTATGAATTATGGATTAATATTTGAATAATTTTACAGTTCAATATGATGAGTTATTATTACTTCTTAGGATGAAATAATCTTGTGTGGCATGTTTGTTCGTACATATGTGTATACATGTGTGTGTGCGTATACTTGTATAAACTTTACATAATAGCTCCTATATTTTTTATATTCACGCGTTTCCCCCACGTTTCGCTTCTGTAATTTTGGAAAATGGCGTTGCCGACATTTCCCTGTTCCCATTTCCCGTTTCTGTGCTACTTAGGCGGTCAATACATAATAAATGTAACCAAGAATATAATATTATTCTTGGTAGAAGATGTAAAGGATTATTGCATTAGCATTAATATCTAAAATTATTCTTTCTAGAATTATCTAACACGAATATTCAACTTAATATTGAACTAAGTGCACTACATTAGTCGCGATTCACACAAATAGAACACTAATGTAGAAGCCATACCTTGAGCCTTAAGTAATAAAACTAAAATTGAAACACAGTTAGATTTTAGCCCAATTATCAAGTGCAAGGATCATCCATGAATCATCATTTTAAAGAGCAGTCCATATCCTATTAGCAGTATTTGTTTCAGTATTCCTTGCAGCACTTGAAGCTCCACTGTCTTCTACATACTATAAAGTACAATCAATAGTCAAAATTTTAAAATATAAAACATGTTAGAAAAAGAAACAAACAAGAAAAAGGGAAAAGCTCGGTAGGAGAATGAATGTAATCCAGAAAATGAAAATGACAGAAGAAGAAAACCAGAGATAAAGATATGGTCATTTAAATAAAATGATAGAAATAAACAGTGAATAGTAGGCTACCCTCTGTGTGATGCGTGGGGTGTGAGTTGAACACGAGAAAGAAGAATGCCAGTATGGCATGATAAAGGACTTCCTATGTTTCTGACTTTCTGTGTGCTCCTTAGTACACCAACTGAGAACGGGTTTATTTTATCTGTTAAGTTGAGCCGTGGTACCAGCCGACCGCATTATTTCCTAGGTGATAAAGGCGGCCATGGACTGCTTTTTGACTGACCAAAAATAGGTGATGACTTGTTGCCAAAATCACGCCTGGACGACACTAGGCTTGCCTACTCTTCTTCCGGCGAGGGAACCCAATGAGCACTCCCTAGCACCAGGATGCCTAGTCGGCGACTAGGCGACGCCCAGGTGATGCCGTGGCAAGTATGTGGGCTATATCTTATTAATAGTATGGTTTTATTTAAAATAGGCTCAAATCTTATTTGCAAATTGGTTGGCATCAGACGTGCCCTTACAACAACATCATCCAAACCTTAGTCCCAAAAGATTTTGGGATCGTCTAACATGAATCGATACATGATATCGGAGTGAAAAAAGAAAAAAGATAAGAAATATAAAAAGATAAAATAATTACATATTTATGACTAAAAAAAGGTTATTTGCAAAAATGTGACTTCCTATGTATAGTGAATATACCAGCAACTTAGTCATTGTAACTTATATTCAATTTTTACACCTAAGTGACCATGACGTTATAACATAGTAACTATTAGTCATATTTTATTAGTAGCTTTCAAGCCCATGCGATGCACGGGCAGTATGTTATTTAGCTAATTTGAAATTTAATTTTTATCGGATCACATATAATGTGATTTAAAAGAAAAATAAACTTAGTCTAATATAGAGTCTGTTTGATAATACTAAAGTAAATAGAATTAACTTATTTTGATGAAATTGATTGAATTCTGGTTAAATAGGTGGAATCTTCTGAATCATGACAAATATATGTGAAATATATTTCATTTGTGAAACAAAGAAAAAAATATATGAAAAAAAGTTAAATTGGCCTTCTACATAAGCATCTCAAGTAAACATAATTGTTATGAACCCAATAATAAAAAACTTCTATTTTCTTAATTGTTAGATCTTACAGTTTACTCATTAATAAGAACGTTTTTAATTGAATTAAAATTTCGGGTTTGATTTGGTATGAATTAATATGGTCTATTAGATGTCTGTTTTTTATGTGACTTATTGTTATAATTATTAAAGTTTGATCTGATCTGATTTAATCTGGAACCTAAATCAATCCAATTAAAAACATCTATTAAAATAATAGTAGGAATTCGTAAACCTATAAAGATTTTCTAATTTGGATTATGAATCTGTTTCGAAAGTGAAGGCATATTTAAATTTTAGGTGTAAAATAAAATAAAGAAACAACCAATTTTTTTTTACTTATTTGGCTAAGCTAAACATATTTACTTGTGAAAATATATATACTTTGTTGGTTATAATTTTTAATTTCATTTTTAATTATTTACTTATTTGAAGCTTACTAATTTATTAATAGGTGTCAAATTAATAAGTAAACTAATTTGCATATTTGTTTCTATTTAATTCGGTGTAGTAAACTAATATAAATTAGTTTCCATATCAATAAACGTTATTAGAATTTCACTTTGATAACCAAAAATTATTTTACTTATTTGAAGCTTACCAAGTTAATTAAGGTGGATTCAATGTTGTCAATCCCGGATAGCGGAGCGTAGCGGGCAGCCCCCAAAACGCTATAGCGGTATAGCGGATAGCGGGATGACCGCTATTTAGAGTACTTTCAAATATAATAGATAAGTAACATATGTAATACATAAATATGAAAAAAAATACTACGTACTATTTGCCTTACTGGAAGCATATGTTTAACTACTGTAAGGTACATCTATTACCTTTAAGGTAAATCTATTACCTTTAAGGACATCTAAGGTCTGCAAAGAACTGAAACTAGATGGTTCACCCACCTAAATTACTTAGAAATACTGTTTAGTTTCATGAGCAAAACATAAGATGCTATTAATAATTAAAACATCTTAAGTCAAAACATTGAGTCAAAAACAAGGTTCTAGTGTAAGAACCCGTGGGCTTAAACAAGAGAGTAGACTGACTAGACTCCATACAAGAAGAAGAAGAAGAAAAGAAGACTGCAGGTCTGCAGCAAAGGTTGGGGAAGAGGATGTTGCAGAAGAAGGTAGTGAAGGTACTACTGAAGGCAGAGGACCTTGAGCTGTTATCGCAGAGGATGTTGCAGAAGAAGAAGTCATCGCAGTCTTAGCAGAGGTTCAACTGCGTATGTTTTGAGCTGTTAGCAGCCTTTGACGTACGTGTAAGGTTTTAAGTAGGTTAATATATTGTTTTAAAAGTCTATTTTACCCCTTGTATGTCTGCGCTAAAAAATTAAACCGTGAAATCCCTCCCAGAATGCGCAGTAAACTCATTCCCATAAAACGCGCCGCGTTAGCGGCCGCGATAAGCATCTGCGCACCACTGCGATAGCGGGCGCTATGGCCGCTACACCCAAACGCTACGCTAGAGCCCTCCCCGTAGCGCCTTCCATGTTAGCCGCTCCGCTATTCCGCAATAGCGTGCTATTGCGCCACTATTGACATCACTGGGTGGATTTATAAGGATTTTTGTTTCCATATCAATATGCAATCAGAAATAGAATCTAATAAAAACAAAAGGTATAAAAATAAGTAAATAATTGTTACATATAATGACATGGCAGGATTATGTGGCGCTTTGTATGCTCTTAAAAGTTCCTCTTTTATATATATATTGATTTTTGTAAACACGTTTTATTTGAGTAATATTTTTGAAAAAACCTTTAAAAGGATAAGGTAAGATAAAAAAGATAAGATGAAGGTAATAATAAGATGAAGATAAAAATGACAAGATAAATAGGATAAAAATATATATATATATATAAAAAATATATATAAAAAAGGATAAAGAACATAAAAAAGATAAAGAAGATAAAAAGATAAAGAAAAACCGGTGGGAAGAGGGACGGTGGTTTCTCAGGCCATGACTAACCCTAAACTGCCCTGAGTCCAGGGATGTCTACCATGGGGTGTTTGCCCGGTTGTTTCCCTGACAAAAAATGTAACGCCGATGCCTGCTTGGGTTACCACTTTAGTTGATATCCCAGGGAGGTTTGAAGGGACTGCTGCAGTCTGGGAACAGGCGTGCACTTCTTGCGTTTAAATTGCACCTGACCTGTATTGCCTCACCTAGCAGATTAGTAAGCACTGCGGCTCTTCAGCGCATCGCCTGGTGGGCTTAAGCGCTTAGACTAGCGCTTTTGACTACCTTGGTTGCATCTGTTATCACTGATCTTTTTGTAAACAACATGGCTGAAAAAATTTGAAGCTCTTTAAACTTTGACGCTTCCCCTCAGGAAGTACTGATTTCTTTGATGGTTTGACTAGATATGAACATTAAAAAATAATATATGCCTCAACAAATTTGGTTGTTGTTATTTTGGCGCTTTGGGTTCTGCAGTTCTGCTTTACCCTTGGTCCTATTTATAACGGTCTAATCATTTATAACCAATTTTCTGTCCTTGTACTGTCTGGGGACTTGCGTTGGTTTTCCGGAACTGTGAATATTTAGTACTCACTACCCTTTTTATTTAGCCAAATTTGACTTTTCGAGTCAATGATGCTAAACTTTGACCGATTATATATTTATACACGATAGTATTGATAATATGAAAATGATATGAAAATGTTCTTTGTTAAAAATACTATCTAAAAGTATAAATTTATTAAGTTTCACATAAATATATATTAGTTAAAATAATGGATCAAAGTTTACCATCTTTGATTGGAAAAGTTAATGATGACTAAATAAAAAGGGACGGAGGTCACGGGGGTAGTATTAAATTTTGTATTAGTAAAAAATAGAATAAAAATAAAATCTCCATTTTTTCATGTAAAGAACAATAAGATATAAATATATCAAGTACAAAACAAAGAAAGAGTGTACAATGCGATAGAGTGTGGATGTGACTGCAGTAGATTCTATTTATTGTGTATGTAACTTGAGAAAACGTGAACTTGTCAGAGTGCTAACCCTCCGCCTGCCTGTATTTCTAAAGTTAAACTGGTTTTGCTTTAAAGTCATGTCATACTCCATTATGCTGTAGTCCTAACTTATTTTCACTAATTTATAGAGGTTACCCCAGCATTGCCAATGTCTCACGAAATGCCAAATTACTTTAGACGGGATGATGACCGCGGCATGCCTCAGCTAAAGGATACACAGACAATTGGATCAGCATATGATCGTTATCTGCAGAGTTCGGTAATCCCAATCACTCACTATTGCATTATCTTTCCTTATTTGCACCTATTGTTGTGCTTAATATTTATGGTTTTGTCTTTTATAGCATGCACCTTCTTTCTCTACTGGAGAGGCTAGTAACTACAAAGGAGCAGGGTTTAGAAGAGCAGGAGGAGTTGACGTCACGACAGCACATGATCCTGTTGCAATGGCTCACGGTGCTTTTGGACCAGAACTCGTAACTAATGGTAGAAGTATGGAATATGTTGGCCATATGCCGATGGATGCAATGGGGAGACCTCATGATACACTACCCTTGCCTCCTGATGCGTCAAACACAATATATGTTGAGGGACTTCCTCCTGACTGCACTAGAAGAGAAGTTGCACGTATCCTTTTAGATACTTAAAAGGAAGCAACATACACCTATTTTTACCTGTTGCAGTAGCATTTGTTTCTTAACCCCCTACTATAGATATATTTCGCCCATTTGTTGGCTACAAAGAAGTCAGACTGGTTAAGAAGGAGTCCAAACATGTATGTTGCTCATCATTTTCTTTCTTTACACTCTATGTAATTATTTTGGTGAGGAGAAGAGGCGGGGAAGAAGAGGGAGGGAAGATCCAAATAGACGTGGATTAGAGGAGTCAGGAGTGATATGCTTCTTCTTGGGTTGGATGAGAGTATGAATTTGGGGAGAGCAAAGTGGAGGGTGGGTTTTCGTGTGGTGGATTGATCTCTTATCATATTTTTTTTCCTTTATCTTCTTTATCTTTCTTATGTTTTTATCCTTTTATCTTTTTATTATCTATATATATGTATATATATGTGTGTGTGTGTATATATATATATATATATATTATCCTCCGATCTTTAATAGTTGCAATGATTTTATCTTTCACGTTTGCCAACACATAGCTTTAACAAGAATTATTGTAATTATATTTAATTAAGTATTAATAAACATTATAAAAAGTTAACATTTTAGAAATTCACATTAATAGAAATTTATTAACATTTTATACATAATTTGATTATTTATGTATTAGTAGAAACTCGTGGTCAAAGTAAGTGTGTGATTGTGTGAGTAGTGCAAAAATCACAATGTTGCAACTATTAAAGAACAACAGAGGAAGTATATTCTTTTTATCGTATCATTTTTATGTATACCTTATCTCTATTTTATCCTATATTTTTTTATCTTTTCTATCATACCTAATATTTTTATATTTCTGATCTTTCTTTTCCTTTTGGCTCTGATATCATGTATTGATTCATATTGATTCATGTTAGCTGATCCCAACATCTTTTGGGACTAAAACTTGGTCGCTGTTGTTGTGATGCTCAGTCTCACAAATTACCGTTCCTAACAAGATTCCATTTTCAGCGTGGTGGAGAGCCTTTAGTTCTTTGTTTTGTTGATTTTGGTGATGCAGCTTGTGCAGCCACTGCTTTGAGTGCCGTGCAAGGTAATACAATAGATTTATGTTTGAAATGTGTTTAAAATTTAAATGATGTTGGCAGCCTTTCAGATTTAATTTTATATAGATATAGCTTAGTCCTTGATGCTTTTTATGATGTTTATGGTTCATTGCTGTTTTACACAATTTAGGGACTAAACTGCACCTACTTTGATTTGTTGTATATATATATGAACAAATGGGACCAGGGGTGTAGTCTAAATAGGTACCAAAAAAACTACCTATCATGGCTATCAGTATGGACGGAACAACATTATATATATTTAAATCAAAGAATTATAATCCATTTTATGAGTAATTTACCGTTTGCTTTGGAATCTATGCATATTTAAGTTTAAGTTATAAAATACTCCTCCAATCCCTAATTAGTTGACGTTTTAGCCAAAAATGTCCCCCACAAATAAATACCATTTTAGGAATTCAATACATGTTTTGTACTAATTCCCATATTACCCCTATAAAGTGTTCCCACATAAAATATTTTTGTGCTTTTGAAAAAAATACATTAAATATGTCTGGATTTTTCCGTAATGTCAATGAATTTGGGACAAACGGAGCAATTATAGAAGACAATAAATCCATTTATAAATCTAGTCAATTATTATAATCAATTTATTTTAAATATCAGTTACAGCCGTTATTATGTTCTTATAATTGAGACAGGATATTTGTAATTAGTAAATATCTTACCTTGTAGGATTTCTCCCTAACATTATAAATAGGGCTTCCTACCACTGAATGAATCAAACAATTCAATCCAAAAACCTTCTCTTCTCCAAATCTTTTATGATATCAGAGCCGAACGAGCTCTAACCAGCCTTCTTTCTCTTATGGCCATCACAACACCAACAACATCCGGCCGTACGATCTCCATCAGCGTGGGGACCTCGAAAATCCTCCTGCTAGTCAGTCTGCCATTCTTTTGGTTGCCCTTTCTGCCTTAGTGAACAACTCCCTAAGCCTAATAATGCTCAATCACAGTCACTTCTGGGAAAAACTCGAAGGTTCAAATTACTTGGTGTGGCGTGATGAGGTGGTTGGCTTATTCGGCTCCCATCTTGTTAATACATCAACTACCACACTGTCCCACCACCGGAACGTGACACCGTTTGTCATCTCCGGTGGAATAGGCAAGAGCATGATGACCAGCTGGCAGCAGCGTCACTTTCAGGTGGTCAGATGGCGTCATTTTTTTATCTATTGGATGATATGGGAGCCAAATAGGAGGTCAAGCACCTGTTCACACCACACCAGGTAATTTGATCCTTTTGAGTTTTTTGGGAAAGTGATTGAGATTGAGCATGATTAGGTCATATGGGGTTAGGGAGAGTTGATGTTGATTCACTTGATTGAAGTGGAAGGGCACCCGAGAGAATGCCGGACCGATCAGCAGGAGGATTTTCGAGGTCCCATTGCAAGTACAGATCCTCTGGATGGGTGTGGCCATAAAAGAAATAAGGTTGGTTGCAGCTTGTTTGGTTCCTGATACCAAAAAGATTTAGAGAAGATTCCTGGATTTTGAAATGCTTGATTCATTCCCTGGCAGGCAGGGGCGGATCCAATAATCCTGGTAGGACTGTGGTGAAGAGTAATTATACTCTAAGTAGTAAATCGCTACTCGGTGGTAACTCGGTCAAGGGCTGAGTCACGATTAGGATTAATTACTAAGGATTACTGAGTGATTGCTCAGCCATGCATTAATTAAACTTAATAATATAAATGCTCCAAAATTCTAGTAATAAATTAGTCTTATAATTCTTCAATATGAATAAAATAATAATAATCCTAATAATGAAGCAGTAGCGAATCCCAACAATCATAAACATTCTAAAAATTCCAAGAAAATCAATCACCTAATAATGCTGTATTCTGAACTTTTGTCCTAAAGATCTAAACTAATCTTTATTGAGTTTAGGGTAATTAGTGACTTAGTTTCTTCTTCATCCCCTATTTCCCCAAACCTAGACTGACTTTGTAATATTATTTTTCCATTTTAAAAATACCTACTCATTATTCATAAGCTCCATAATATCCCAATGTAGTTAAGTTTTTTCATATTTAACCCCAAAAATATCAATTTTACTAGCTCTACTGAGTAACTCGGCGAATCAACCTTGTCACTGAGTAGTGAAAATCGCCTAGTACTTGATGAGGCCCTAGCCCGAGTAGCTTGTACTTTGCGAGTACTCAATGATAGATAACATAGATTATGCTAGTTTTAAATATTAGCGAGGTGGGTTAAATATGAAAATGAAATATACATTAAAAAAATTGAAATATTTTAAGTTGCCCCGAGCTTTAGCCCTAACGTAGTTTCTCCCATGTTGGGAGGAAGGTACTAACGGTTGTAATTGATATTTCCAATATATTAATTATAATAGTTCAGTGAATTTATTAACTTCTATCAAGACAATAGATTAGTCAATTATTTAATTATTATTATAAATATCTTTCAAAAAAAATTAATATTGCAAATATCAGTTACGAGTTCTATGATTAAGACAAAATATATGTAATTAGTGAGTTGTGGGAGAGTTCTAGTTAGAACTTCTTATAATGAGAACTTTTAATCACAACCTTTCATTTTATTCAATCATTGTTAGCATGCACACGAGGTCTTTTGTGTAATATTCAAAATTCAATCGGGGTGCTTTTGTATTTATTGTAAAAATATTACAAAAATGACACCTTATTGATTCTAACCGTTAAATTGAAAATATGAAAGGTGGAGATTAGAAGTTCTTATTTATTAATAAGTTCTCATTTTAAAAATGGTTCTGATTAGAACCCTTCCCTTAGTAAATATCTTTATAGGATTTCTCCGAACTGTATATATAGGGCTTCCCATTAAGCAATTCAATCCAAAAACCTTCTCTAAATCTTTTAGCAAGTACGCTCCCTGTCAGCCACAGGTGGTATATATTGATTTCTGCATATCAGCAAATGTGTGTAGGTGTGGCTATGTGAGCTGTTTCCATGGTAGACTACTAAGATAAGAATATTTCCCTATATTCATGCACACACAGCATAGAGGGGATTGGGGAAACGGATATAAATAAATGATTTCCTCAAATATGTTTGAGTGATTTTATTTTAACACCTTCATGAGGTTATGTATTTTGGGAAGTTACCGGTGGGCGTAGCTCAACTGGTAGCAAGGAAGTGCCATAAGGGTTAGGTCCCGGGTTCGAATCCCGGCAACTGCGATGAGAGGTTACTATGCTAAAAATGCATATGGCCTATGCAAGTACTGGAAACAGAGCCCCACTCTCTATCTGTCGGATTGGTATTATAGTCCAATTTACATCCTCCCAGCGTATCGTCCGGTCGGGGTTGGGGGCTCCGAGGGATGGGGTGTCATCCTTTTTTTTGTTTTTGTATTTTGGGAAGTCAATTATATGATTTCTTCTTTTCCTACTTTAGGTTCTTCTGTATATGTAATACCTATTGTAAAAATGGAACTTTGCTTTGTTTAAGAAATCATCAAACAATGATGAAGTAAACAAAAAGGTATCTCGTGGAGATGTCCCCACAAAATTCATTCCAACCACTGCTCCTTGTTTATTTTCAATCAAGCTGAATTAGCAATACCTCACTATCTCCCCTCCAATGCCAAATCCCCCTGGTTCACTACAAATATCCTCAATTTTCTTCATCTTTATTGATAGCATGATAGTTACTAGTTAGTGCTATCCTCCACGTACATGCATGCCCATGAGTAACTCCTATCTAATAGGGTAAGGTAGTGTAGCAGTATCAACTACCATTGGTCTCATTCACAATATATAGCTACTCCCTCCGTCCCATAAAATAAGTCCCATTTCAATTTGGATCGGAGTTTAAGAAAGTGGGAATAAAGTCAAAATGTATGGTTGTGGTTGAGTAAGAAAAAGGTAAATGAATGTTAGCCACACAAAATTTTCCAAAAAGGGAAATGGGAACGCCCCAAAAAGGAAAATGGGACTTATTTTATGGGACGGAGGGAGTATTTCAGAAGGAAAACATGATATGCATAATATAGGGTTGTGACATGGCAGGGTATAAGTTGGATGAGCATGACCGTGATGCACCCTACTTGCGGCTACAGTTCTCAAAGTACCCAGGGGCAAGATCAGGCGCTGGTGGACGTGGCAAGAGATGAAGAAAACAAGCAACTGTGTAATCATTGTATTTCTGAACCAGCAAGAAACAATTTGGTACAATTCTATCCCTGTGGGTGGCTGGTTTATGGAGTTGAAAGTTTTGAAGGCTTTTTGCTTTTGAGTACTTGTAGAACCGAGTATTTTCCATCTTCAGTAAAGAGCATTTGTATGTTGTACACTATTGCTCCTAGTCAGTAGTCCGTAATGCTGACAGATTAATCATTTATAACGCCAATAATAGAATTGTGTGGTTCGGTCGAACTGATTTTGATTTTGTTATGATCTTATGATTATGCGAAGAAAGGGTAAATGGCTGGTCTTGCATGGTACTCCGTACGTCTTATTGTTCTTTTGAACGAAATTTTAGTTTTTTTTTTTAAATTTTGGAAGTTGTACTATGTAACTGTTGTACGACTTGAGTATTGATATGTAACGACACAGAACAAAGTTCAAATGGATAATTATAAATAAATCCAGACAGTTTCATAATTAACTAGATAGTTTGTTTAAATAATAATGAAAAATAATGATGAAGTTTCTCGCAATATGATTTGGCCAATTGGCCAAATTTAATGAATAAAAATACGACTATTTAAAAATCCAAAAAATAGCTATAATTGTTTATTCCAACTAGGGGTGCACTATGCTCGGTCTGGTCCGGGACTTGGGATGGGCCTGGAATCCTGGATGGTACTAAAATTTTGGAATAAGGCTTTTGAGTAACTAGGGGTGCAATAGCTATAATATTTGGGCCTAAGGCCCGGTACCGGCCTAGGTTTCCAACGGGACTGGTCCGGGCCGGTCTACCTGCCTGGGTCAGGCTGGGTCGGGCATTTTTTTTTGAAATCTTGTTTAAAAATTAATTCAAGAAGTGCTAGATATAAAAAGTAAATTTGTTAAAGGAAATTACTTGTATTGTGCTGTCATTATAGATAGAATATGTACAAGTATATTATGTATTGAGCTAATGAGGCACAGTCTTTCTTTAACCCGATCTCCCTCTCTATTTAAAGAGGGTTTACCTATTGGAATAGACATTTCTCACTTCTCTACAACACGTTATCAGCACGAAGTCTTGACCCTAAATTATTTTCCACGCCTCACTCCAGCACTTCTCCGCTTCAGCCCTCCAACACTTCTCCACTGCATTCTGCAGCCCTGCAACACTCGCCGTCGCAGCAGTCCACTCCAACAACCACCGCCGCAGCACTCTGCGAACCAGCCAACCGACGCACCAAAGAACTGACCGACGCCCAGCCCCCCTTTCCAACCTGCGATTCCGGTTCCCGAATCTCTGTTTGAGGTATTTTTTTCTCAAAAATCATTGCAGAATCTTATGTATATGATTTATTTCATTATGTTTACGATTGTGATGAACATCATTGATTTTTTTTGAGATTAAGTTGTCATTCTTTTGAGATCCATTTCTTGCACACCAAGTGTTTGATGTTATGCCTCATCCATTTTTTTGAGATATAGATGCAATTTTTGATATAATTCCGTAATGCTATATGTTATAATCATATAGTTGGAATCAGTATCACATTATGCATCCTTCTTTGTTTTTATACATCCATGTGATCATACTTTTCCGTAAAGCTATATGCCATATACATATAGTTGGAATCAAAGATCACACGATTAATCTTATTTTCATGCATTTTATATGGTTATACTTTCCGTAAAGCTATATGTTAAATACATATAGTTGGAATTAAGATCATATTATGCATTTTTTAAAATTATTTTATACATATTATGTGATTAGATTTTTCCGTAATGCTACATGTCACTTACATATAGTTGGAACAATAATCACGTAAGATTACTATATTTTATGTTCATAAATTATCTCTAGGGCACAATACATGTCTAATTTTCCCTAAATCTATATGTTATACTCATATAGTTGGAATTCATGTAGTCCTATTTTTAAACATTTTTTTAGAATACACTGACATGTTTCTATTTCTGTAATTCTATATGTCATATACATATAGTTGGAATACAATCACGCAGTCATATTCTTACTTGTCATGTAAATAACCTAAATTAGAAATCAAAAATCCATTTGTTGTCATACAAATAATTCTAGATATATATATTTGGCAATTTTTTTTAGATCACTATGTTTCTTGTAATATACATGTCATATGCATGCATTACAATTATTTTAGCAATCTCTACTAATTTATTATCAAAGTAAAATAACATATATTCGATACATTAAGATACATTTTTTTCCTTACCTAAATTAATTAATACAAGAAAAAGGTAGTTTATTTTTTCAAAAATTAAATTCCCCCCTCATTATCGTAATATAAAGAAAATCCTTATACAAATAATTTTCCCATTACCATTATCTTTATAATTGCAATGACACTTTTTTTCTACATTTGTTTTACAAATATACCATGTGTTCACACCAATATTTTTTTAACCAAACATAAAGAAAATTTATATATTTGCAACTTTTAGAAAATTCAATCTCATTCCCGAAATTAATAAAAAAAACAAAAAAAAACTATAATTTTTTTCGGTAATCAACATATACGAAGAAATATTTTTGTAAAAATATATGCATATTACATTACTAATATATTATTAAATTCGTTTTTACAAAAAAAAAAAAACAAAAAAAACAAAAAATTGAAATATAACTCCATTTATTCGAAATAATTTCCCTAAACAAATCAAGAATTTAATTCGTTTTAGATCCATTTTTTGATAATTAAAATATGGCAAAATATTTTTTATATAATTCGAAAATATATATAATATTACTAAAAGAATTATTAAATTCATTCTTTTTTTTAAAAAAAATGAGATATGCCTAATCCACTCATTAGACCAATATTAATACTTTCTATATTAAACACACCATATAACATCATATACAAATCTTTATGATTTTAATGAGATGAATATATATCTCCTCTCTTCGATGCATTATATAATACTCCGTATTGTCTACAAAGAGACATACCCCATATCATTTTTTATGTGTTAAAGAATTTTCACACAAAGAATCATTTTTTTTTTCATTTTTAGTGATAAATGGAAGTATATAACACTAATACAATTTTATATTTTAAGATGACTAATCCAACTCGACCCGAGTTTGACATCCTGGACTCAGAAGGACTTGAGTACCATCGCTGGGTTTCTGACATAGAAACCACTTTTGTGGCTAAAGACTATTCCGCCACACTTGCCGATCCCGAAAGTTTAAAAGACAATGCACCGTCTGAAAAAATAAAGACTGTTGTGTTAATGTTCCTTAGACGCCATATTGACCCAAGCTTATGCTGGGAATATTTACAATTGAAAACCTCCAAAGAACTGTGGGACGCACTAAAAGGTCGTTTTGGGAACATACATGACACATTGCTCCCCGAACTGACAGTGCAGTAGAATGAAATCCGCTTAGTCGTCGACTGCAAAAAGATCAACGATTTTAATAAGGACATGTTACGCCTCAAAGTGCGCCTTAATTTATGTGGTAAACCAATCACAGAAGATGAAATGATTGATAAGACCCTCTCCGCTTTCCCTACCTCACCACTTATACTAGCGAACCAGTATAGGTTGGAGCATAATAACAAAAGAATAACCACATTTAATCAGTTAATTAATTTGCTCCAAGTTGCTGAAAGACAAAATCAAGTTCTCTTGAATAACAATGCCAAACCAGTTGGGACAAAGAAAATTCCCGAGGTCAACTATGGCAAAGCAAACATTGGAAAGCACCCTAGTGGAAGAGGAGAGGGCCGTACTCATGGAGGGGGGGGGGGGGGGGGGGGGGGGGGCAACAATCGCGGCGGGCTTGTAGGCCGAGGTACGGGCCGTGGAGGATCTTCCAAAGTGTGGAATAGAGATACAAGCGGCGGGACCAATGGTCAAACTAACAAGGCTCATAATGCACCATCAAAACCTCCAGTCAAACGAGACTGAGTTGGGGAAGAACCATGCTACAAATGCAGAATTTCAGGTCATTGGTATAAGAATTGCCAAGCCAGTAATAAAGTTGCTGCTGCCTACAAGAAATACCGAGAATCAAAGGAACATGAATCTCAATTTGTGACAGACGAAGGAAATGAGGTTGATGTTAACCTCACAGTGGCAGATTTTGGTGTTAAAAATAACACCACCCATTCAGTCGATGCACCGGACTTTGATTAATTTTCCCCTATCCCACCAGACAATTTAAACAAACTTTATGTTTTTTCCCATTCCTTTTCATTTCCTGCTTATGGACATTACATGCTTATCATTATTTTAATAATTGGATTCAATTTTTGAAATCCAAATATATACAAACAATTATCTAATGCATGTTTACACAGGAATGATTCGAGGAGAACTCAAATGTTTAGTCGATAGTGGGATAACCCACACTATCCTTAGACATATGCAACTTTTTATTCAATTAGTAGCCTATAAATCCTCTGTGACTACGATGATTGGATCATCGAACGTAATACAAGGGCGAGGCACCGCCAAATTTATGCTACCTAACGGTACTACATTCCACGTCACAGGCGCTCTATATGCACCCAGAGCTACTCGAACTTTATTAAGTTTTAAAGATATACGGGATAATGGTTTCCACGTTGAAACTCATAGTGAGGATGGGATAGAATACCTATATATTACCTCTAGTAAAAGCGGAAGAAAACGCATATTAGAAAAATTAATAAGTCAATCTAGTGGACTCTATGTCACTACTATTCGAATCTTCGAATCATATGCGGTCTCCAACAATGAAATGTTGAATATAGACTCATATAGGCTTTGGCATGATCGTCTTGGTCACCCCGGTCAGGACATGATGATTCGAATTCTCAAGAATTCACATGGACACCCTTTCTATCGAGAAAGGAATAAAGAAGGGCGAAAAGTCAACACAATACAAACTGTTAACCATGCGGCTCCTCCACAAGGACAATTATCTTCTAAATCACAAGAAGAACTAGCCCGTGCTTCACTAACTATGTCCACACTACAAAACTCATTTTGCAAAGGCTGCTCTTTACCAAAAACAGGATCGAGACCATCCTATGCTAAAGACACAAAACAAAACATCCCATTCTTACAAAGAATTCAAGGAGACATAATGTGGATTGATCCATCCAGAATGCGGACCATTTAGATACTTTATGGTTCTGGTGGACGCATCGACCCGTTGGTCGCATGTTACCTTATTTTCCACAAGAAATGCTGCATTTGCAAAACTCCTAGCACAAATAATTCACTTAAGGGCTCACCACCCCGATCATCCTATAAAGTCCATCAGACTTGATAACGCTGGAGAGTTTACATCA